TATATATATATATATATATATATATTCGTGATATAATTTCCGATGATACACTACTTTAACAGATCTTTGTTTTAGGCATATTTTTGAAAAACAGTTAAAGTCTTATAGAACTAGCACATAGTTACTGATAAGTGTAACCAGAACAAAATCAATTGGGCTTGGGGCCATATGGGCTTCCGAAAAGCCATATCAGTGTGACGCTCAGTAATCTAAAATGCTTGCCTTAGGAAAGTGGCTGCCAGCAACATGTAATACTATCTAGTTTTGAACAATTCATAGTTTGACCAAATTAGTTCGGGTCCATCACGTAATCTTTTTTTTTTTTCAGTTAATGAACTTTTCAGCTAATCATATTTTGAAAAATATTACCACACCGTGTATGTTAGAAAGCAGTCAAGTATCGCACTTCCGACATTATCTTTAGTCAGGGAGCATTCATGACAAAATAGAGTACAACTACAAGCAAATTTCTTTCCTGTCAAGCACAGAATATTGTGTTGCAACTTTAAGAATTTACTAAAACTCAAAAGATAACTTCAGCTCAACTTTCCTTCAACTACTTCAAAAAATGCCAGTTCCTTGGCTTAGCAACCATATTTCAATCCAGCCCGTGAAAATGCAACAAAAAATAATCAGCTGACCACTCCCTATTGTGAACATTGTAGATTAAGCTTATGCTCAATTTTTCAGCTGTGGCTTCATTGTTTAGGCACATAAGGCTGTTGTGCTGGTACCAAATGTACTAGTCAGAGGTTCACTGACAGCCAAAACTGCCGATTTTATGATTGAAGAATAAGGTGGCTTACCACTGTCATGAATGTTTTCAAGATTAGTATTCCAGTTTTCGTGACTTTTCAGTACCACGTTAAACCAAAATAAGCATAACAGCTGTTCTGTAACGCACTTCAAAAGAATTTTTTTACGGTTCTTCGTTCTAAATCGACTTGGAAGGAACACTGCAGAAGGTTACGAGTACTTTAACAGGAGTATGCAGTTCATTTTATTGAACATTTAATAAAACCAGTGAAAATTATAGTGTTACTATACAACCAGCACCGCAAATTTAAAAGAAGGCTTCACGGAATAAAAGGGTTATGAGCAAACAGAAGAGTTCATATTTCATTTCGCCATATTCCACTTCTGACCTATACTCGGTCAAGTCTTGCTACAAGTGTCGATGGCAAATCGACAAAAGTTTTTGTGCTCTTAACTGATACCGCTATGATTCTCTGCAAACGATCTAAAAAGCACAACAAAAGAAACTTTGTTTTCTGTTTTCAATCAACTACGGAGATGCTCTTGGTAAAGCCATGACAACAAGATTCAGTTCGGTCTCTTGCATCTTATTTAAATCTTTTCAAAGCTGCTCTATCACTGTTTGCAAAAAGTTTGCAACTGAAACCTAAAGACAACAATACGGTTAACAAACGTCATGGATGTGGTTTTATTTTAAAAAATTTTATACCACAGTGGTTAACTTATTAAAAAACAAAAATAAGTCCCTAAAAAGGCACTCAATTAACGGAGCACCTCCTTTACCGACCGAAAATATTTTCATTCCGTACACCTCTTCATAATCTATAAACCTTTCCACAACAGTTCCACAAATCTCCCTACTTCCCTTTGTTTTTAACTGAAAAGAGTGGTGTTAAGATGGTTTACAGATCTTTAAATAGCTGTCCAAAACAAAAATAAACAACTTCAACAACCGTAACATAGCACATGCAATCTGCCAAACCTTGTTTGTAATACACTTCAAGAAGTATTACATTAATTTTCAAGTCTAAACCAGATAGTACATCTCAATAGATTCAAATTTAAAAAACTAATTTTTGAATGGAATAATGAAACTCTTGAACTTCTACTTGAAAAATTAAAATAACTAGCTTCCCTTTTTTCGACGCAAGTTAGGTCCTCAAAACTTTACAAGTGATTCATACAGTACAGTACCACATCATAATAGGACAGCAAGAAAAAAGTCATCTGCCAGTTGGAACAACACAAGTCTGAAATCATCAATCCGGTGTCCAAAATAGAAAACCTTCCTCACTTAAAAGTAAATGCAACACCCTTTGAGCCTATCCATGTTCACAAGTGTCACAAGAAGCTTAGTATGCAAATTCAAATAAGCACATCCAATCCGGTATAAGCCTCACAAAGCTGGTCCC